GGCTCTCCTGGTGGAACTGGGGACTGGGAACCAAGTTTTCCCCCCACCTCCACCTGGAGCTGCTTCTGTGGCTCTGGTCCAGCCAAGAGCCCAACTCTCCATGGGGAAAGGGGCAGGTTGAGCCTTTTGTCCCAGATGTGCCTCTGCTTTCCAACTGCTTCTTCCCTTCTGGGTGACAATAATCTCAATTGCTTCTCTCTGAATTAGAGAAGAACCCTGCAGTAATCCCCTTTCACTGAAAATTCAGCCCAAATGGGGATTTGCAAGGCTCTTCTTAAGGAGAGAAGCTGACGCTGGAGCAGATGCTACTGAAATGATATTTATTTCCAGAAGAAACGCAAGAGTCAGTCCTGTCTCCCTGAACTGAGCAGAGCCCGGTCTCTGCTGTCCCCCAGGATGCTCCATTGCAGCCAAGAGCTTCCAAAGCAAAGCAAAGCAAAGCAAGGCAAAGCACTGGAAGATGGAAATAGCAGAAATTGTTTATATAGGACAGTAGGAAAAAATATTAATCAACACAATGATTTTCCACTGAAAAGGTTTTGCTGGTGTAGCTGAAATGAGGGAGATGCAGGAGGCTTGGCCTGATGTGTCCTTTTAAAAGTATCCCTCCCAGCTGGTTCTTGTCTTTCCTAGGATGCTCTGACATCTCCTTGCCAATGGATCATGCCTGTAGACATTGAACAGTGCCCACATATTTCCCTGGGTGTATCTGCAGCTCAGCTGGTGGTTGGAGCTGCAAAGGGAGGAACTGGAGGAGGGTTAGTAGTGATGGGCAGCCCTGGGCTGGTAAGGGGTAAGAACTCTGAAGACCCCTGCAGCACTCTCACCTGTGCGAGGTTAATGCCAGGCTGCAGCCCCTGATGGGAAAGGTTAAACATTACCCCTTGACACCCCCCATGGCCTCCATGGTGCTGCCGGTGCAGGATGTGGCAATCTGGGTCGACCACACCACAGGGGCAGGGCTACAGCATAACCACTCATCACCCCTGGAGCTGTCACTGTGGATCCTGTGTGTCCCCCGCAGTATAAAACAGGGGGAATTTAGTTTCTTCACCTCCATTTCCCCCTCCTGCAGCCTTCCAGGATTGGGTCCTGCAGTCCCAGGGAGGTACAGGGCTAGGTTGGGGTATGGTGCTTGGTGTGAGTGGGATATGTCCAACTCATCCATCTGCCCTCTCACTGCTCACATCAGAGGGGACTTCTCATTCATCACAACTGATTTAAAGTGAGGCATTCTGTTTGCCTTACAGCTGATGGCAGTGAGTGACACTTACTCTGTCCATGACCTGAAAAGTTTCCACTGACACCACTTTTGGGGGATGCCCATGGTTCTTCATTGTTAGACCTGGGGCATCACAGGAGACTGCATCTACTGAGGAGGCCAGTCTGCAGGGAATGGAGCCTGAAGGACACTATAGCACCATGTTGACATTTCTGAACAAAGATTGGCTTAAAATATTACTTTCTTTTAAAAGCTAAATTACATATGCAAAAATGTCCTCTGCCAGTTAGGTGCCAGGCAGTTTGGACAATGGTTCTTCCTTTCCTACAGAAACCAGAAAAATTTAGTTGGGGTTTGTTTGGTTTCTGAGCAAGCACACACCAACCTCAGCCACTTTCTGGCTTTCTTTGCACAGCAGAGATATCTCTGTACTATCAGTTTCTAGTGCATCACATGCATCTTTCCAAAAGCTGAAGAAGCTGCAGCTGGGGAAGGACAGCCCTGGACCACCCCGGCTCCTGCAGAGCACCAGTGTGAGGATGCAGGGACACCTCTGTGCATGGAGGGAACAGAGATTTTCAAAGCATTTGCTTGTGGGACCTTCTGGAGCTGTTACACTCTTGTGGTGATGGGATGGCAGCTGAGCAGGGGTGAAAAACCCTTTTCCTGGCCATTGAAGCCCATGCCATGACCTGCTGGGGAAGCCTGGGCAGAAGCTGCTGACTCCACTCCATCACAGCAGGGATGAGTCCAGGGAGCCAAGGGAGGAGCCGAGCTGTGGCCAGTGCTGGGGGACTGGCGTGGTCAAAAAGGGTGGCGATGGAGGTGGAGGTGGAGGGTTCACCACTGGGCCTCAGGGAGAGGTTGGGGAATGCCCTAATTACAGCTGTGGAAACTGGAAGCTCTCCACTGCCCTGTAGCCAAAGAAACAGGCTCTGCATGGGTATGAGACACAGGACACTGTTCCCAAGGGAAAAAAAAACCCTGCTGATACTGGTCTGACTCCTTAGCAGGTATAAATGGGCACGTTCTGCTGATCTGCATCAGGTGGAGATCTGCCCTCTCCAACCTCCTCGGGCAGGATGAGATCTGCTGGCAGAGCCATCCTGCGAAGCAGCTGAAAGCTGCCCCCGGGAAAGCGGTGCCTGAGGAGAAGCCTGGGCTGTGCTGCAGCCTTGTCCTGCAGCACAGCTCCGCCAGGAGCACATCGTTTCCCTGGCTCTGTTGTAGATCTGGGACAGCAGATCTGGATCAATGTCAGACTGGTTCCCCTCAGCATCCCTTCCCATGCACCTATCTAATTCCATCACCTTCAGCTTTGGTGGACCTGCAGTTGGGTCTGGGCTTCAGTGATGAGCTCGGGGAGGTCAAAATAGCTTTTGTAAAGGAAAGTCCGGTCTCAGAAAGAGTCTGGTGTTTGCTGAAGGCATCAGTGAGCTTGCGGATAAGGGCGGTCTGGAAGATAAGAGCTTTCCTGGATTTCCAGCAGAGACCTCTAGGTCAGCCACTGCTAAGAGAGAAAGTCCAAGTAGAGTGAATAATCAATTAGCAGATAGGAAATGATGGTGAGATAACAAACTCTGCTGATGATTCTTACCTATTTGGCACAGCAGAGATGAAGAGCGATGATGCAGGCGCACAGAAAGATCTCACAGGACTTGGGGTTTGGGAATAAAATGGCAGGGGACCTTCGGAGGTTTATAAAGTGAGACACAGAGGGAAAAATCCAATATGACTTCATATACTGGGCTGGCCGTTATCTGCTTGGAATAGCTTGGGATTATGGTAAACGTGAAACAACATGAGGAACATCAGGGAAACCATGAGCTAAATGCTAAACTATGAGAGATCAATGCTTTGTGCTGCCAAACACCTCAGCAGGACCCCATCCAAATTAAAGGAGAGGAGGGAGCTTTTCCATCAGTGGGGAGTAGATCTGGGGAACTCCTTGCTGAAGGATGGTTTTATACTGACATTTTTCCTGCATCTGAGGGAAATCAGGCAAATCCATGGAGGAGAAACCCACTGAGGGGACTTAAATAATGAGAAATCCATGTTCAGCTCAGAAGGTTTCTGAGCTGAAAATACAGACAGGGGAGTGTGAGGGGTGAACGTCATCACGGCTTGTCCTCTGCCTAATCCCCAGCCACTAAACGTCTGTCTACAATGTCTTCATCTTAATAACAGGAGGAATCACAAACCGTGTGGTTTTATATTCCTTTACTGTGTAGATCCTAGCTGGGGGTGTTCTTTCACTACGTTCAGGCTAATCCTTGTAAAAATCCTTTAAGTCCTGTGCTTCAGTGATATCCTTTGGCAACGAGTTTTGTAAGTAAAGTGCTCGCTGTGCCTTAGTCAGAAAGGTTTATTGCTTTATAGTAGCTTGCTGATGCTGGACTGCTATATTTATTTTGCCAGCAATTAGCAGGACTCTTGCAAGTTATTTAAGTAATTTTTTTTCCTTATGTCACAACTTGAGTTTTCTGTATGTATGAAAACACTTGAAAGACAACTGGTTACTGCAAGAAGAAATAAAAACAGAAAACAAGCCTGGCACGGAGCGGATGGCTCTTTAGGGCTATCTTTTAGAAATGGGATTTTAATCAGGAACCTTTGATTAAAGTAATTCCTGTGGTTGCGCAGGTCCCGGGCACACCCCTCGGGGCTGGAGGCATGCGTGGCAGGCCCAGCCCCACAACCAGTCCCTGGGGCTGGCAGACGATGGATCTCACTGGGATCAGAGGCTGAGTTTGCACTCAGTGGGTCCCAGGTGACTTTTTCAGCAGCACCCGCAGAAATGGCTGCCTGGCTGCCCCCTGCAGCAGGGACACAGGGGTCCTGGCCATGCTGTGAGCCAGGGTGACCCAGGGTAAAAGCCAGGTCTGGAGTGGCTCCGCTGTGTTGAGGTGCCTCCATCACCCCCATGGACCCCATCCCCCTTGCCTCCACACCAGCATTTGCAGGACAGCACTGCCCTGTGTGAGGGTGGGGGGATGGGGTCTCAGGACCAGCCCGGGGGGACGCAAGAGGTTTGGTGGGTCCAGGTATGGGGTGAGCCTGGGCACACAGCCCTGCTTTGACATAGGGCTTCAGCACCCAAAAACTGAACCCCCCCCCACCCCATGCTTCAGCCACTTCCTCTGAGACTTTGTGAGTGCTCTCCACTGCTGCAAAGCCCATCACGATGGGGAGGACGTGACGACTCCATCCAAGACATCCAGAAAAGGCCGAAAGGAGCAGGGAACCCTCCCATGCTCTTTGGAAAGGGCTGGACTGCACCCAGACGGAGGTGTTTTAATGACTGTTTTGGATCCCTGGGAGCCAGCCTCCTCCCACTCAGCCCAAGGTAATTCACCTCCTCCGCGGCTGCTGGAGGAGTTGTTGACTGGCGGAAGGCGGCTGGTAAAACAGGTTCTCCGCAGGGAGTTGCCTCCGAAACCCTGGGAGACCTGGACGGATCGAGCCCCGAGCGCGGGTCTCCAGCACTGGCACAGCAGGGAGGGATTTGCTTTTTGCGTGGCACTGCTGGGCAGGGCGTCTTTCGTGCGGCGCCGCTAGTAGACAAATTACAGCCTTGCCTCTGTCAAGGTAGATAAGGGGCCATGTGATGCGGCGCGGCGGTGAACGGGCTGCAGGCAGGGTAAAGGTGCACAGGGAAATAACCTTGCGGGGAGTCCCTCCCTTCCCGGGGAGTGCAGGTCCCCGCGACTCCACCGCCACCTTGGCCTGGATGCCTGCACAAGTTTTGGGAGCTCTCTGAATCTCACGGCAAGTGGGGATGTCTTTTAGAGGAAGGAACTGGTCCGATCTCTCCAGGTGGGTGCTGTGGTTTGATGCTCGACCCCTTCTACCTGCGAGGGGGGTGAGGGTGGGCTGCTGGCATTGGGACCCTCATTAAGGGGCACTGGGGAGGATGGAGCAAGGGGGAGGCTGCCAGGGGGGTTGCTGCTGGCAGAGGTGGTGCCAAGCACAGCAAGAGCTCAGTGCTGCTGGAGTTTGTCGTGGGTGGGCAAGATCAGAGGCAGATTTGTTTCTGCTGCCTGGAGAAGCAGAGAGAAATGGCTCTGGAAGTGCATCCTGGCCCTGTGTTGGATATATTTCGGTCTGGTTTGCCCTTCTTTGGGGTAGGGTCTGTCTGGCTGGGCTGTGCCTCCAGACTTGATCTGCTGTGGGATTTTCCATCGCCCTGTACCCATACAGCCCTGGGTGCATGTCCTGGCTCTGCTAAACTGGGGGTGCAGGCTCTGCCCATCCGGTGCTGAGCAAGTCCTGATTCATCAGCAGGCGCTGAGCGATCCCCGCGGCCCTGGCCATGCCACTCAGTCTTTCCTAAAAAGGGATTTTGGCTGCAATGGGAGCTGGGGCAGGTGGGGCTCCTGGGCACCGCCGGGTGAGTCAGGGGCTCGCACAAAGCCTGGATGATGTGGGATTGGTCCCCACCTCCCGCAGACCCCAGGGCAAGCACCTCTGGCCTTGGCTGTGCAGGGTGGGGGGGGTGATGGTGACTCAAGCGCAGCTGTGCTCTCCCAAAAAATGGAGCAGAAATCCTTGTTTGAGTGGATGTGATGACTTTGAGACTTAACTACAAACCTCAGCACTTTGGGTACACCACTCACCGCAGCCAGCCCAGAAATGGGAATTGAGACCCTGTTGCTCGGCGGCTCATGCTCTGCCTCTGTCACAGCTGGGATGGATCCAGAGGTGTCATGGTTTAGGACATCCCAGCCCCATCCAGATCCACCTCGGAGCCATGATCTGCCCGGTCTGCAGCAGGGTACTGTGCCCAGGGTGTTTCACAATGTGGAGGCAGCTTCTCCTCTCTCATGAGATGAGACAGTGTTCACTGAAACAGCATACATGTCAGATTTCTCAGCACTAATGATTAACGGGGCAGGAGAGGACAAGGCAAGGGGAGACTAGCCAACTTTTTCTTATTCATCTCTTTGAGGTTAGTAAAGGTAAGACAGTGAAAGATAAGTCTCGCTTTGAAAAGAGGAGGGAAAGATTGGCAAAGCAAATCCATAGCCTAATGGGTGAATTACTTAATTGCAAATAATGAGAACCTGCATGTTGGTAATGCCAGGTTATGCGCTGCCTCTGCAAGAGCCAAGTGAATTCAAGGCAGGGAAAAAAAAAATCTCATTTTCATTTTGCAGGAGCCCGTGCATGCAAAAACAAAGAAGTAACTGGCTCTCATGTAAGATTAAACCGGTGTTAGCGCCCTGCGCTGTCACTGCTTGGGGACAAGGGCATTCAGCAGAGCCACCTGCGTGTGTAGGTGCCCACACACGCTGACCTTGCCGGGTGGGGAGTGTGTGTGTGTGTGGTGAGCACTGTGGCACATCTTGATGGAGATCACTGTGTAAATAATGCCGTGTCGCCCTCCCTGTGCAGCTGAACTCAGGTCCATGGAGGCAAGCACAACCCCAAGGAGCTGAATGGGGGGTGAGACCCTGCTGGGGATGCTCACAGGCTCCCTGGGGCAGGTCCCAGCCTTCTCCACTCCCGTCTTTCCCAACCATGGCATCTGGGACCACGCTGGAGCCCCTCAGCACTGAGTCTCGTTGCTGCTGGGGGGTCATGGCTGCTTGGGGGAGTGTGAGGTGACAGGGATGGGGACAGCGGGAGGACATTGCCCTGTCCCTGAGCAGGTGCTGGGCTCTCACCAGGACCCGTCCCCCTTTGCTCCCCGTTCTGCTCCGCTGGACCCCACTCCCCCGCCTCCACGGACCAGGAACAACAGAAGCCGTGAATAGTTGCGGGGGGTAATGTGGTTTAATTTATGACCCAGCTTTCATTACACAGTAACTCGTAAACCACTCCGCGAGTCACCGTGTCCGCAACGGCGTTAGCGATGCCGCAGGCCCGGACCTGCTCTGACTTTCACGTTCTTAAAAGTCAAATTCAAAGTAAAGCCTGAGCCTGGGTGAAGCTTCAGAGCTGGGACAGCGGGAGGGAACAGATCCCATGTGGGAAGGGGTCTGCCCCATGAGGCTGATTGGGGTGTGGGGAGATCTGCCAGGACGCCTGTGTGTGTTTGCAGCTGGTTGAGGACTGGTGCTGTAGGTGGATGAACACTGCTGTGAAAAGCTCAACCCAGCCAATAAAAATATTTTCCAACAGAGTTCATGCACCAGCAGAGAGGGTGGGCAGGTTTCTCATAAAGAAAGGAAGGGAAAGCTGCTGTTTTCAAAACAACTTTCTATTCAGGTATCCATTTTATCAGAAAAAGTGTACGTTTGACTTGTGCAAAATACAGTATTTTAAGATTGCTCTTTAAAGATGGTTACAAACCTTGTCTTTTTGCTGCAATCTGTGATTATAAAATATTCCCAGTCCCAGCCACATGCAGGAAGAGGAACTCCTGCCACCCCTGTTTCCTTGTTAGCAGTGCTCACCCTTCAGCCTCTGATGCTTTTGCATCTGAGGCTTTTTGTGCAATAAAAATTAAAATACCATCACCACACCTCACATTGGGGCTGAAATCTTTGCCACTGGTGGTTACCCCTGCAGTTGGTGTGGTTGTGATTTCTGTGGTGGCTCCAGGGTCCTGGCCTGGTTGAGTTACAGCTTAAATATCCTTGCCTGGGAAGGTTTGCTTAATGTAGGGATTCCTTTTAAATGAGTGCTCCCTCCAACAGAAGAAATTAGGAGTTGTAAAGTGAAGTGCTTGTGTTGGGAAATGCCTGCACCAGCTGGGTGGAGTGAGAGCACTTTGCAACACCCGGCTGGCGTTGGCGTCCCCCTCCTCTGGCCCCATGCAGCAGCTGGGGAAGGGAACCTCCATCACCTCTCAGCCCTCGCCCGGGCGCGTTTCAGTCTCCTTTCTCACTGACATCAGGGCTGCGAGCTCCCTGTGCAGGACACAGCCTCACCACATCCTTATGTTTCACCCCAAACAGCCTGGCCAGGCAGAGGACCCTTGAGGATGAAGAAGAGCAGCAAAGAGAGCGCAGGCGAAGGCACCGAAACCTGCTGTCCTCCACGTCGATGGATGAAGAACCTCCCAGCCCGGTGAAAGACACCAGTCCAGCGTCCAGCAGGTGCGTGAGGTCCTGCCAGCATCAGTTGTACTCGTGATACTGATGGCTTGCAGCTCGCTGCCTTGTCTGTCTCAGCCCTGAGCCAAAGCTGCTGCTCTTGGTGGGAATTTCTTTGGGATGAGCTGTGGGAGGAGTGGGGGTTCAACAGGCCCTTGGGCAGAAGGGTGGACTTCAGAAGGGTATATCTCAGGTGGGTTCAATCATGGGTCTCAACATGTCCTGTGGCGCCCATGTGCCAGGGTGAGGGTCAGTGCCAAGGACGAGCTCAGCTGGGTGGTGGCTGTGTCCAATGGATCTTGAGCAGGAAAGGGCAGACCAGGCCATCTCTGCTGGGCATGCAGCACCAGGCTTGCTGTCCTCCTGCTCCCATGAATCTTGCGGAGATGTTATATGACCTGTGTCAAAGAGAAGTGACCCAAGCGCTTCCCAAAGGTGCTCCCAAAGTCCCTCACTGGAGGGACTGGGATTCAGAGGTGACCTGAAATCAGACCTGACCCACTCTCTAAATTGATCCTGGAAATGTCCAGTATTTAGATGGCTTATGTCCACAGGGAGACCCATGCTCTAGAGGTGTTTCTCTCTGAAGATGTGATGAAGTTAAGGTTCTTGGGTTGAATAAGGACTGGACATCACTGTTATGAACAGGCTGGATAGGACAAGACCCCCTTCCCTGGTGTTAGCACAGGCTGGTCATGGTGACTGCAATTTGGGAGAAGGATGAATACTATCCCATCTCCTTCCCAGGTCCTGGGACTGTCTAGATCTGTGTGGTCCTGGACAGACGTCGCCTCTGTCTCTTCCCAAATCTGGTGCCTATGTTTGTCTGAGGGAATGGGGGGAAAATGTCTGTTTTGCAGAATGTGTTGGGTCTGTGGTTGATCCCCTCCGTAGCAAACTGTCTTACAACCCACTCTTTAAACATAAAGGTAATGGAGTTTTTTCCTAATCCACCAAGAGCCACAGATGCACGTCTTGCCCAGCAGCAGACCCAGCACACTAAGCCCATAGCTCCTTGGTAAATGCTGATGCCCTGGGCTGAGGCTGCAGAAATGCTTAATTTCTGCCACAAAAAGAGAAAGAAAACAAAATACTTTTAATGCAAACTTGTCCTTGGAGAGCCTGGCTGGAGTGACAAAGATGAGTGTAGTTGCAAGCCCTGGTCTGCAGAGGTAACTCCAGAGACATTGGCGGGAGTTTAATGCCCGCCTGAGCCTTTCACCTGGGTTAACCTCACCTGCAGGACAAGAGCCATCGTCCTGACCATAGGGTGCTGAGGTTCGCCCCTGTTTTGTCTCTGTCCCAGGCCTGCATCCCTGGTGAAGCCGGCATCTCCAGAGGACAAGAAAGAGCATGAGCTCTCAGAGGTGCTGAAGACACAAGATGAGAGACGGACAAGGACCCCGAAGGCCGTCTCTGAAAAGCTGAGGCAGGAGAAGGAGCAGCAGGAGCCAAGGGTGGGCTCAAGACAAGCGGAGGCAGAGACGCAGCCAGGCGTGGGGCAGGAGAGCATCCAGGCTGGAGAGCAAGGTCAGGACACGGCCAAGGGCAGGGGGGATCCACCAGGAACCCAGCACCCGGAGCCAGCCTTGGAGAGGACGGTGGTGGTGAGGGGACGGCTCCAGGTCAAGGAGGGACAAGGCCTGGGGACGCCTCAGCGGGAGCAGAGCAAGGAGGGGAAGGAGCTGCAGCAGCAGGAGCCACTGGAGCTGGGAGGCTGTCGGCTCCGCGAAGTAAAGATCCTGACCAGACGGGGAAGCCGCAGTGTGGAGGAGAAGACAGAGACGGCCGTGACCTTGTCTGTGGACCAGCAGGTGAGCAAAGGCACCAACCCTTGAGGTGCAAAGGCCTGGGTGCTGGGAGGGCAGCAGGAAGAGGGAGAGCCTGAAAGTACCAGGAGGGAAATGGGATCTGTGGGATTTTGGGGAAGGATTTTTTGAGAGATGTGAGCCACGAGGTGGTGGACAGGGTCCCATCACCTGCTTTCCCTCCCTTGCATGTCCTGTTCTGATCGCCTGCTCTGGCAAACCCTGACTGATTTCCATTTGCTGAAATGGAAATCCTTGGGACTTTGTGTATCCAAGTGGGGCAGACGAAGTTTGGAGGATCTCAAGCTCCTGTCTCCAAATTGGTTCCTACCTTGGCTGCTCTGCTCCCTGCACTCGAACTTTCTCTGCAGACTCTGCAGGAGTGCATCAGATGTCTGATTTTTTTCCTCAGCAATCACCCAGGAATCCCTCAAAGAAGGAAATACAGCTGTCTGTCACCCAGGATGAACCCACAGAACAGTCAGATACTTCTCCAACTCCCGTCGTCTACAGCAGCTCCATCAGACGAACCAACCCAAGAACTGTCTCATTTCGGGTAAGAGCTAAAGCAAATGGGAGACTCCAATTTAGGCAGTGGAGGATGGTGGCCAGGAAGGGTTGTGTTGGTCTCCAGGTTATGTGGGCAGAGCCTGTTCCCAAAAGTGTGTTCAAAATCCACCCCTGATCTGAGCATTGCAGTTCTGCTTCACTCTCTCCTCCGTTTTCCCTCTCCATGTCTGACCAAGGGCCTGCGATGATGAACATGCCCATGTTTATACGCTTTGTGCGGGCATGAATACCTGTGGGAAGTGATGAGAAAACAGGGAGCTCATTGTCCTCGGATTTTCCAGAGCCACAGGAATGACCATCTGCCCTTCACCATTTCTGGTCTTCTCTGAGAGCACAGGATCAAAATAAAATCCATCCTCCTTCTTGTACCTTGCTAAATCCCTCAGAATATCTTCAATTTTAGTCTCCCCTTTCACTCCTGAAAAGACCTCTGGAATAAAGTGCTTGGAAAGCTTGGGAAGACCAAGAGCTGCTGAGATTCTCCCTGCTGTGAGTCGGGGCTGACTGGCTGGGCTTAAGTGACTCTCATGGGGCTTTGCTGGGAATAGAACTGTTAGCACTACAAAGCATCTTTAGTCTGGAGAGCTTGGTGTGGGTGCAAACGGAGCTTGCTTGGAAACCAGGAGCCGAGTTTGAGACAGTTTCTCTTGTGTTTATCTTCGATAACCAAAGATGGCTCCAGTATCTCCTCTCCTTGTGTCTTCCAGGTGATCTCAAGAAAACAGAAAGAAGAAAGCCAAAGCCCCCTCACAAGGAGGTCAGCACCTCTCTTCACATTACTTTGGCCTTCCTGGGCAGGGGTTGTCACCCCTTGTTTTCTGATGGGACCTGGTGACAGCCAGTGAGTGCCCTGGCTCAGGTCTGCTGAACATTGGTCCCTGGGGTGCCTGCTGACCAGGCAGCGATGCTTAGCAGAGGACAGGCCAATGTCCAACGTACAGCTTGCATCTGTGCAGGATCCTCAGCTACCCCTGCTGTCTCCTGGCTGATGTGGTTCCTCATTGGTGTTTGTGTCTGCACAAGAGTGCTTAAGTGTTGAGTGGTGCGGCACCACAACAGGGTCCCATCCCTGAAGGTATCAAAATCCACTATACAGGTCCATGAGCAAATTCATCTGGCTTTAGTGGCCGGATCAAGTGATCCTCCATGGCAAGGTGTGGACGGGTGGCTTAAAACCTCTTAAGGAACCAAGGCTTAGGTCTGGATGAGTTGAGAGGACGGCCCTGTCCCACCTCTGAATGCAGGGCAGTGGAGTGGGGCTTTTTGGGCACCTGCACTTGCATTTATGCAGACTATAGACAAACTCACACTGACGTTGGGGAAGATGCAGTTCAGACCTGGCAGTGGGGATGATGGGGTAAACTGAGGAACTCTGAGCTATTTTTCAATGTACAGTGTGGTCTGATGGTGAGACCCAGAGACTTTGGTCACCAGCAGGGAATGAGCCGCCTTGTTTAACTTGGCAGACAGATGCAGAAGGAGTGCCTGGGTCAGATGGGGTCTCCTTCTGCCAAGTGAAGCCCCCCAGAACCATGGGCTGAGTCTCAGGAGATCCTGAGGGGGCTGTGCTCAACTCTCTCCCCTCTTCTTCACCAGCGCGAGTCTGAGGATCCCAGGTAGCAGCACCACTATTGGGGAGAAGCTGGAGAAGTACACCTCGGCCGTGCAGGTACCGAAAACCCTTGGTGTAGCTAGGCTGGGGTGAGAGGGATGTGTGGGAAGAGGGAGAGGGGTGGCCTGGAGCTGAATAGGAAAGAGAGAGATGGGAGAGGATATCCCCTGGAGAGGGCCATGGAGGTGTTACATGGTCCTGCTGTGGGGAGCAGCGCAGGGCAAGCCCATGAGCTGGTGATGGGCAGAGATGGAGCAGACTCCAATGGGCTTGGGACGCCAGCCATAAGCAGGACTTTGCTTTTAACCACTTGGGGTGCATCACGGCCCCTGCTGATGACCCTCTGTCTTCCCAGCGCTCAGAGGGAGCAAAGTCATCCCTGACCATTCAGAAGAGCCTTGTGCTGTCCTCGGAGGGGGTGGCCAGCAAACGCAACTTCTTCGAGGCCAGCACTCCCAGCAAGGCTGAGCCATCTGCCATCAGGAAGGTAAGGGTAGGAGCTGGTCCGAGCAAGGTTCCTGTGCCGGGGCAGGCATCAGCTTTTTGGACAAATCTGCCCCTGTTTGGATACCAGTGCTCAGCCCAGCTTGCGGCAGGGCAAGTCCATGAGCTGGTGCTGGGCAGGGCTGGGCTCGGCACTGGCTGCCACCGAAACTGTGCCCCATCTCTGTGGTTTTGTGCTGATGCAAATACCAATTTGAGGAGCTGGGATGGAGCCAAGGTGTAGGCTGGGCTCTGCCTGTTGAAGGTTTGCTCAGTCTCCCCGTGCCCTGGGGAATGTCCTGGGTTACATCCGTCCAACGGGAGGGCTGGTGCTGTAACCCCGGTGTCCCTCTCTGTGCCACAGGACAACCTGAAGATCCCGGGATCAGTGACATCCCGCATCAATCTGTGGATCAGCCGAGCTCAGGAGCCTGCCAAGGAGGAAAAAAGCAAGGTAATGGCTTGTGCTGACACCGTGGGTTAGAGCCTGGACACCAGGTTGTCTGGTGGGACATGTCTCTGCATCTGAGGTGGTGGGGCTTGAAGGGTCGATGAACCCTTGGCTGAACCCATGGCAGGGTTTGAGAGGAGCTCAGCCAGGGTCAGAGGTTTGTGTGCTGCAGGGCCACCGTGGTGAGATGTTTGGGCTCCATTTGTTGCTGTGCCCTGGTCTCAAAGCACCCAAGGGTGCTGGTCTCAGCCCTTGGTGAGAAGAGCAGGCAGGAGCTGGGCGCGTGTCCCAGGGGACATGCAGGGGACTTGGTCCTATCTCCAGTGAGAGATCACCCCAGCATGGCCCCATTCCTACAAGTGTCTGCCTGACTTGGAGGCCACTGGGAGATGAGCCATATGCTCAGTCCCTTAACACTGCAGTGCCTGGAGAACTGTGTCTGCACTGAGAGGTCCTGCTGCATGTGGGGTCTGGAGTGATCTGCATCCCTGAGTGCACCCCAGCCCTCAAAATTAGGGTGTCCTGTAGCTGTGGGAGCAAAATGCCCAGCTAAGGGGACTCAGAGGTCAACACTTTGCCACCACGGCTGCTCCAGGGCCATGGATGTGAGGGGGATGACCAGGAGACCCTTTGGCCTCAGGGTAGCTTGCTGTACTTGGGAAGGGGAGGTCCAGCCAGTCCTGGGATGGTATCGCAGGTCACAGCAGTCGAGTGTTTTGCCATTGCGTGTGGCAGTGTCTCCTGCATCTGCCTGGGTACAGGACCAAGAGGGGCAGCTCCAGCCCTGCAGCATGGGCAGGCAAGCCCGGGCACCCCCAGTGCTGAGCTGCAAGGATTAACACTGCCCAAATGTGTCTGCATGGGGAGCCTGTGCTGGCTCCACGCCTGCCAGGAAAAGGCTTGCTCCTGGGGTCACTCCTGGGTAAAGCTGCAGCTCCTCTATCAGTTTTTCCTCTATTAATGCCTGCTGCCCTCCACCTCTGTGGGCTGGAGCTGCACTTGGGTTTCAGGGTCTACCAGGAACAGGATCTCAGAGCCGGCTGGCTTTACCTGGAGCATGGATGCCTCAAGGCTTGGTTAAAGTCAGACCAAGACAACACTGCACGTGATGCGCGGGGGAAACCTTCGTGTGCCACTTACAACTCTCCTGTTTGCAGGACATCAGGAAAATAAACAGCCTGACAAACCGTGATGTCTGGGTAAAGCATCCTGGAGACACCTCTGGAGACACCAAGGTAGACATGGAGCTGCTTTGAAAACTGGAGCATCCTCCAAATTAGGGGCAAAGCCGGGACCTCCCTACTGGTGCATCACCCACAGGGCAGGTGTGAGGGACCCAAGCTGTGGGGGAGAGGGATTGCGTGGAACATCCAGGACTCCATCACTTGGGGGAGGCAGCAGGAGGGGACAACTGGAGGCAGCTGTAAGGATTTGAAGGTCTAGGTAGGATTTAGGGGATGCCTGTCTACCCTGTCCCTGTTTGGTACAAGTATGGTCTTAGTTAAAGTAGCTGCCTTTGACAGATTTGTAGCCTCAGGCCCAGCCTCACTGTTTCTCACTTTATTTTCTAGTTGTAATAATATCAGAAGATCTGGGAAAAACCGTTTTGCTCTGAAGATCAAAGCCCAGCCCTACCCAACCGTCCAGCAGCTCACTGCCATGAGAGCACCCTGCGTCACGTGTGGGTGCGTCCCAGGTCTCCAGGGTCCTCTGCTGGTGGGATGGGAAGGGAAGGAAGAAGGCTGGAAGGCCACCCCTGCACCCCAATCCTCACTGCTGCCTGCCCAGGAGCAGCTGAAGGCTCCTTGCAAATGCTGAAGGCAGACTCTTGCCTCGTTTAAAATGCTCTGGCTGTGCCCCATAACGGCGCTTGCAAAGAGAATCAACCTCTACATCTCCCATGCAGCTGGAGGATGTTGGTGGGGAAAGAAGCTGCTTGGCCAAGGGACTTTCAGCTGAACATCCATGGACCATGTTCATCCTTACTTCAGACATCACCCTCTCTCCCGGCTGTCACTGCTGGAGGGACTCAACCAAAAGCAAACTCTGTTTGCAAAATCATGCGTGTGCCAGCACAGCTTGGAGATGCCTCATGGAGAAAGGGTTGACCTGATGGCCCTGGTCCTTCCCTCCAGCACGCAGCTGAACCAGAGACTTGGCCTCCTCCACCCTGCCCTTACCCTCCCCTACCCACTACAAGTAGTGACCCCTCTCACTTAGTGATATGGGAAAGGTGGGCTGGCCATGGCCCTGGTTTTGGGGTTGCACGGAGCTGAGTGCCCTATGCTGGGCCCCTGCTGCAAACCCCATCTTGCCTTCACTCTCCTGTGCCTTTTGTCAATGGCTGTGCAGACCCCTGGTCCCCCACTTCCCAATCTGCTGGGATCCAGCAAGGATGCAGGATGCTCTCTGGAGAACAGCTTTAGGGTGCATGGGCAGCCCATAAAATGATCCTCAAACCCTAGTGTTGGGACCATTTGATGGCCTAGAGCAGCGCCTTGAGCAGTGTCCGAATTCGGTGTGAGACTCTCCTGCTGCCCCTGTCTCTGATCTTGCTTGTTGGGCTTTGGAAAGGACTTGGTTTTCTCTGTGCCTTTTTTTTTTCCTAATAAAACTTACTCTTTTTAAGATGCTCCTGATCACCTGCTTCTGGGCTGGGACCAGGAACAGTTCACTTGTCTTCTGGCAATGGAAAAATAAGCAAAACCCCGAGACAAACGTGATCCGGGGAGGGTAAAAGCAGCCTGAGACTCTTCCCTTCTCATTGCAGCACCTGGGAAGAGTTGCAGAAGCTTGGCCTGGGCTGGGGGTGTGGTGGAGGGTCTGGTCCTCTGCTCACGTAGCACTGCCTTATCAGGGTCCCTGGCCCTAGAAAGTGACAGCTGGCTGGCTTGTGTCAGCCCCTCGGGCACCCGCGTATCTCGGTCCGGAGGGTTTAAAATAGCAAATCTCTGAGGCCACACAATAGCTTGGGCTTATATGGGCTCCTGGGGGGGAAGGGGGAGCGGCGGAGGGGGCCGGGGCCGTGGCTGCCGAAATAGCAGCTCACAAGTGTTGCATTCCTCGCTGGGCGCCGGGCACATTCCTCCTGGCGCTGCCCGCCCCGGGGTGGGCGCTGGAGCCCCCTTAAAGCCTCCTGCCCCCAAAGAGCATTTCCCAGACGCCCGCCGGCTTCCCCTCAGCTCCGGTCTCACCGGTGCCCGCAGTGCAGGTAAGGCTGGGTGTGATGGGGTGCCCGCTGCCGGCATGGGATGCTTAATGGAGGGGCTGTGGTTAACACTCCAAAAGGGAGTTGGCTGAGGTTAATGGTCCTCCCAGTTGCTTGCACTGGGGTGTCTTTTTCCCATGGATAAAGCATCAGGACCCTCTCCAGAAGGTTGTATTTTCCCAATGCTTTTTGAACTGCCCTGGTGTGTGCCAAGGCATCCAAGAAGGATTTTGGATGCCAGGGGAATCTCACAGATCCCTGTTACCTGTGTCTCCGGGGGATATCAGAGGGATGTGATGCCCATGGAGGAGTCAGGCCAGCCAGGCTCTGGCTTGCTGGCAGTTGTGGGGTGGATGGAGATGGGATGCTCCCATGGCCTGGTCCATGCTGGAGTAAATGCTGGGAAATGAGACCTCTATGTCTGAGTAACCTGGGGCAGAGCAGGGACTGCAAACCATGGAGGGTTAACTTAGCTCCAGAAGTGTGAACAGCCCTGAGCTCATGGAGAGGGGCACTGTAAGGAGCAGGAGGGATATATGGGTTATTTAATACACAGCAAATGATGGGAGAATTTTTGCAGTCACTAGAATGTGCAAAGTTTCCTCTTTAACTGTAATACGTCTGCTGGGTTCTCTTAATTCTTTCAAAATGAGATTTCAAAGCTTTAATGGAAAGGTTTACCTGTTTCTGTACAGAGGATGGATAAATATTTCCTAGAGCCACTTTTTTCCCTGTGTACCCCCTTACCAGTCCTGGTTTTGTTGTGGTTCCTCAGCAAATGCTCTGTGGGGTCTGTTGATGTATGAGAGAGGAGGTGAATGGACATGTAGGAATAATCTGTCACAAATGCACATTTGGGCTGCAGTGGGCAGGAGGGGGTCTCTGCTCCCGTGTTGTGAGAGGATCACACAAAGTCCTGGGTGCTTGGAGACCACATAAAAAATTTGGCCAAACTCTGGGGACAGCAGGACCATGGCCTTGGAGGAACGCAGGGCCAGGACTCGCTGTTTGAGGGGAGCAGGGATCGATGGGATGGTGCTGGAGGGGTGGGGTTAGGGCCAAACCCCATAAGTGTCAGAGGGAAGGGAACAAGGGCAGCAGAAGCAGACGGTGAACCTGGGGCAGACAGGGCTGAGTTCTGACTTCATTTGTCTCCAAAAAGCATCTTCTGAGTCATTGTTCAGAAGTGAGATTTGACGGCCCCCCAGCAGCCACGAGTATGCAGCATCACCCCTCCTGTAACACATCATTCCCATGCTTGTGGATTCCAGTCCTGGGCTCAGCATCTTGAATAAGCGATCCCCAGCCTGTCCTACCCATCCCGGGTAATAAATGCCCAACAGATGCAGCCAGGACCAGTTGTTCCCAGGCTCCCGGCAGCAGGAGGAGGGAAGCGGTGCTGCTCTGGGAGCAGGTGCACATGGAAGTTATTTCTAGAGATGCCTTGCGTTGTCCTGCTGCATCTCATGCATGTACATTTATGGTTGGACTCGGTGGTCTTAAAGGCCTTTTCTAAACAAATGCTGCTGTGATTCCGTGATCTCAGCTTTGCCGAGGTCTGGCACCAACGCAACTCGTGCTGGGGCTTGGGCTGATGCTCGAGGCTGCTTTGGGATGCCCAGGGCTGGGGCTGGTCTGTGTAGACCTGGCAGTGAGGCATTGGGTGGGACAATAAGTGAAGTCCTCCTGACCACAGCTGGGAAGGATTTGGGTATGCTGGGAAGATGAGCACGGCTGTTTCTACAGAGTTATGGGCCCTAAAATAAGCTGTGAATTCTTATTTATTATTATTACAGAATCACAGAATCACAGAATCCCAGAACGTTAGGGATTGGAAGGGACCTCCAAAGCTCATCCAGTCCAATCCCCCTGCCGCAGCAGGAACACCCAGATGAGGTTACACAGGAAGGCGTCCAGGCAGGTTTTGAATGTCTGCAGAGAAGGAGACTCCACAACCTCTCTGGGCAGCCTGGTCCAGGGCTCTGTCACCCTCACTGAGAAGAAGTTTCTTCTCCAATTGAAGTGGAACCTCCTGTGTTCCAGCTTGTGCCCATTACTCCTTGTCCTATCATTGTTTGTCACCGAGAAGAGCCTGGCTCCATCCTCATGACACTCACCCTTTAAATATTTATAAACATGAATGAGGTCTCCCCTCAGTCTCCTCTTCTGCAAACTAAAGAGACCCAGCTCCCTCAGCCGCTCCTCAGAAGGGAGATGCTCCACTCCCTCCATCATCTTTGTAGCCCTACGCTGGACTCTCTCCAGCAGTTCCCTGTCCTTCTTGAACTGAGGGGCCCAGAACTGGACACAATATTCCAGATGCGGTCTCACCAGGGCCCTTAGCAAACCTCAGTCTCAGGGCCAGGACCAGGCAGGAAAAGCTGCTGCGAAGCCCAAACCGCCCCTTCCCAGAGCTCCCCCTGCACCTGGAGGGCTGGGAGGTCTCACCACGATCACACACTGTGCTTTGTGCAGGACTGTAAATCTGAGATAGCGCCAGGTCCCTGAGGTTCCTACATCCCCACTGAGCTAAGAATAGTCAGGAAGCAAAACAAGCCGAAGGTTTGGGTTATTTTCCCATGCCTTGAGCAAACGCAGCACCCAGCAGTGATGGGAGCTGTGTGTCCTGGACACGGCTCCTGACAGCACTTATCGGTGTGGCGTGAGGCTCTGCCTGATCTCCTGCCTCCTGTTTGGGGTGAGCTGTGATCTTGGGGTGGGAGAGGAGGAGGGAGCCTTATCTCTGCCCAGATAACGCTGACACAGCCTGGCCAGGCACTGCTGGAGGCTCTCAGTGCCTTGGACAGACGCAGCATCTCTGTGCCCGCGTCTCGGGTGCTGGAGGACAGCCTGTGCTTGTCCTTATCTCCTAACCTCGCTTTTTCCTATCTGCCTTGAATTCCGCTAGATAACCAGGCATGTCGGACTCTGAAGAGGTCGTTGAAGAATATGAGCAGTAAGTGGGGTGTTTTTAAATACCCTTTTTTTCTCCCCCTCCTCATTCCTGCCTTCCCACAGGGTCACAGCATTGCTTAGCGGTGCCTTTGGGGAATCACCAGCTCTCCTCATTACCCAGCATAAAAGGGTCTTGGGACTCCCCAACATCGTGCCCATCTGGACCACTGCTGTGACAGTGCTGGGACCTTCAGCAGTGGGGAGTTGTGTTTTAGGAGCTTTACAAGCACAGACATGGACAGGGACAGTCCCTGCATTAAAAATGCTGCAGTCCAAACCAGTGGGACTGAGCTGGGAAAAGGCTGATGGCATCGGTTGGCTGCTGTCACATCCAGAGCATCATTCCTCACTGCCCAAATTTGAGGGTAGCTTTTGGTAGTGAGGGCTGCTGAGCCATGAGGTGCACCCCAGAGAGAAGGTGCTCAATGTCTGTGATACGTGGTTATGGGGATAAGCTCCTACTCCTCATCTGCCAGCAGATAACGTAGATCTGCATCCTTCTCTGATGTTTAAAATCCACGACAGACTCACGTGTCCTGGTGATTGGTCTGACCCCATGCCCAGCATCCCCTGGGCACACGCAAGGACAGGCTGTGCCTCTCCCCCATGGTCAGGAGAGGACTTTGGGGCAAAGGTGGGATGCAAGATGCCCATTTCTAGCATTATAGGCCATGGCTGCTCTACCTTGTCAAGCTGCAAACTTGTGTTGTGGTCTGACCCCTGTCAGGCTGTCAGTGGAGCACCTCAGCTCCTGCTGTCCCCAGGATAAAAGGGAGCCAGCCTTGAGGAAATGTCAGATTCCTCTTTGGCCTCACTGATGGACACACGTGCCCCATTGCAGACCGCTGTAACTCTCCATGTCTGTGTTATGCTTTGCAGGGAGCAGGAAGGTAAGAGGACACAGAGCATCTGTGGCTGCTCTGGGGCTGAAGATAAGAAAGAATCAGAGCAACTGCAATAATCTACGCCTTTTTCCCTTCCTTCTCTCCTGTGCGCACGTGTGCTCTGTGAAGAGGAGTACGTGGAGGAAGGTAGGTGTTTCGCTGGCGGTTGCAAGGACCAAGAGGCCGATGCTCTTTGTTCAGTGTTTGGCTTGGGTGGGTGGTGGTGTTAAGCTCCTTGACTGCAATGAGCAAATCATGACCAGAAAAGGCAGATGAGACCATGCTCCAGATTTCTCCATCTGAAACATCAGTAGGATCAAAACCAGCCTGAATATCCTCAGGATCTCTGTTGTTAGAGTGATCCCTTGACTCAAACGGGTGGAAATGCTGGACTCAGGCGTTGGCAGAGCACAATAATGGGAGCTGGACCCTCATCTGGGTGTGCTTTAATGCTTGATGCTCAGGCACATCCTTTCACCTGCCCCAGCCTGATGGAGAAGCAAACCCCATGGTACACACAGCAGCTCTGACACAAATGGGCTTTGCATTCAGGGCTGGGGTTGGGAGCTGGATTTTGCTGATCCTTTTGCTGCACCAGGGCACTGCCCAGGCTGCTGCACACCAAAACGTCCTCAACACTGATGGCAAAGAGAGGTTTTTTTGGGGGGGAAACCACTGCAGCGCTGGCGTCCTCATCCCATGCACACCACAGCTACACCCCGCAGCTTTGTGACATCCGACTAATCTGTGCACTTGTTCCTTTCCCTCCTCCCCGGCTCAGAAGAGGAAGAATGGATAGAGGAAGAAGACGGTAGTTATTGCACCTTTCTTTATTTCATCTCTCCACTGCTGCTGTGAATATGTCGGTGTGTCTTTTGCCTCGCCCTGGTCGGGATATGGTTTTCTTTCATTCTTCCACTTCTCTCTGTTGCTTCTTGCACTCCCCATTCCTGCTGTTCCATGCTGTGCAGTTCTGCTCCTGTGTCTGTGGCTCCTCTCTTGCTCCTGTCGGCCAAATGCACCCATGGTTTGCTGTCTTCTTCTTTCCTTCTCTCTTGCTGCGGGACCACAAGTCATCTCAGGACCTGTGGGCCCCAGCGTTGCTCTGACTCCAGCAGAGAACTCTTGTGGGGATCCTGCTCCCTCCAGTGGAAAAATGCCTCAACAGTGCCATAAATAAGATTGTGCAGGTGCTGAAGGCTGTTGTCTAATGCCAGATAATCTTGTTTTTTGGCAGAGGAGAGCAATAGAAATCACTCCTCCTCATCCTGGGACATAAAAGCATGATAGCATGTGGGAAAACGAGGGACAAATGAGGGCTATAAATCCTTTGAATCTATTTTTTTTGCCCTTCCCAAGCCCTTGGGGTAAGGTTGGAGCAAAACCCTTCACTTTCTGAGCCACTGCTTCTCTCTCCTGTGGCTGCGTCTCCTTGGGTCTCTCTAAGGTGTCTCCATGCCCTGGTTGTTCCAGCACTGGGGTACACAGGGTGACAGCACAAGCAGTGGCTGTCGGACTGACCCTGCTTCTTGTCCACAGGTCAGGAAGAGCAGGTAGAGGAGGATGAGACCGAAGAAACCAAGGAAGAAGGTGAGCAGTGGCCTCACCACTGACCTCCCATGGCTTGGCTGGAACCCTGCTCTGCTTCTGTGGGATGATGAGCAGGGTCTGGGGTGTTCCAGCATGGCTTGTGACAGACGACAGCAGCGCAGGGGACAGCTCTCTCCCATATCTGTGGTTTCCAGTAAAGAGGTGTCAAAACTGAGCTGCCCTTTCCTGATCTAATGAGTGCCTTGGTCCCGCATGAGGATAACAGTGTTTTCTTCTGATTAGTGAACAGTTTGTGTCCACCACTCCAACATAATGCCAAAAATGAGTTAAGCTTGCTCCACCAAGAGGTCCCTGTAGCCTTAGAGGGGTCATTTCCAGAGCTGGGGTCATGGTCTGATGTGTCTCACCATCCAAAGACCTCATGGGACCTCTTTGGAGCAGACACGGGTGCCTCATGTGTGTCCCCATGCTGTATGGAGCAGGTTCAGACCCCAACCGTGCTCCCCAATTCAGGGTGCTGGGACCCCTCTGTGCTGGGGGATGTGGTTGCCCTCACCACAGATGCTCATATTCTCCCCATTGCTTTTGAAACAGAACAAGAGGACGAAATGAAAGCACCAGGAGAAGGTAAAGCAGGA